TTGATACCTAGGATAGGATATCTTTGGTTGGATATAGTATTTTTGGCATTAAGCTTGGTCGGGAAATTTCTTCCCAAACTATCGTATTCGTCCCGAGTTATTTTTGAGTTACTTTCTAAATTAGTAATATCAATTATTTATTATTTTTGTTTGCTTTCACCGGTGACTCTATCATAGACTGCATGGAGTGGGGGAATTTCCTGAAGTTCTAGAAGTGATTTCGATTAACCCATCCTAACAAATTTTCTTTTTCTTTTTATTTCGGTAGGAAAAAATAGAGAAGAACTACCGTCACTTGCACGGATTAGAGAACGTTGTATAAAACAACTGGACCAGATCCGACCCGACCACATGAGAAGGTTGAACCCAACGCCTTATAAGGTACGAATTTCATACATTCGACTATTTTGGTGCGCCACTGACTGGCAACTTTATTGATTTGTTTTGCAAATATCTGCTGATTTCATGACATTTATTTTCCTAACCAGGTTAGTGTTAGTGCGAAATTGTACGACTTCATTCATTTCTTGTGGCTCAATGAAGCACCCGTGGGTGAGTTGCAGTGAAAATGGGGTTAACATAGGATCATATACGTGGGTAGGCATGTAATGTCTCTACTTGGAAAATATTCATCATTTTCTCTTTTCACATTCCCTAAGTTAGGCTTATTCCCGATTTTCGGAAGTTAAATATATGTAAATCTTGTTTTATACATTTATGATAAATAAATTGCCCGCTCTACTTCCTCTTATCCTTTATCTTCATCCTTTTTTTTTTCGTGTGCTTTTTCTTTGTACAATGAATTGGGTTATGCAGATGGAGATCTTCATATTTGGAGCTCTTATATGTTATATTCATTCAAGCAGCAGCTGTGTTTTATGCTACTTGGTAACTTTATAGAGAAATAATATCAGTAAAAAAGGTGACACAATGTTTTAATTAATAAACACTCACATATATTTATATATACCTTGTCTATGATCCTCTTCTTTAATGAGTCCATGCTCCTGGTTTCATATACCTGAGAATTTTCCTCGGGTGCACTTCCCTTTAGTCGTCTATTGGCTTTGTGTTTGTGATGTGTACTTTTGTATCCTTTTTCTTTTTTAATGGTTAAGTGAGCATAAACTATCTACAATGCTCCTTGATACGAGGTTAAACTATCTATAATGCTCTTTGATAATACTCATTGATATGAACCTAAACTATCTACATATTCAAATGCTTTTTGATATGAATCTAAATTATCCTCAAACTCAAACGCTCCTTGATTTAAACTATCGACCTGTTAGTTTTATATACTGAAAGTTTAGCTTTAGATGATATTACACTTTCCTTTATGAATGAGAATCATGTTTGATTAAATAAGTTCTATGTTATGTTGTTTTGCACTTAGATAGAATGGGTCATCATCGGTGAACAGATATCATTCTATCAGTTACTTGCGAAACAAGAATTGTGGTTCACAATCTAGATGAAAATGAACACCTCATCCAAACGGTTGTAGTGTCAACAGTACAGTTGGTCTTGACTGATTAGTTGTAGTAGTACATTTATGTATTGAACAGGATCCTTTAGTTGTACTAGTACATTTATGTATTGAACAGGATTCCAAAGAGAAGATGATCGTCGTAAACAAACTAGGTCACGGTTAATTATTGCAGTTCTCTTAACCCCTAAGATATTAAACAGACATATATATGCAGTACATATTACTTTGATTCAATTGGGTGAGGTTCAGTTCGCTGGATTAATATTCCTACTTGGGTAATATTGTTGTATGTAAGATATGCTGTTAGGATATTTACGGTCACCATGTACTTTTAGTTTGATGATATCCCCGAAGTGAGTTCATGAAGGACTGTTATGCTAAACCCTGCAGGTGGATTAAGTTCCGGCATAATAATAATGTAATGAATGAGCGCTAGCTTAGTTAATAAAATATATTAATTAATTCTTGATTGTCAGTAATCGAATTAATTAATGGACATTATATCTTAAATATGAGGATGTAAATCGAGTAATTATAATTGGAGTCTCAAATGCAATTTGGGCTAGGAAAAGGGAGTGCAATATTATGTTAGTGGACCGTAATATTATTTAAGTAAATAGAGTAGTGGGTTTGGCCCACAATTAGTCCATTACTTAATAGGCCTACTCATATTCTCCTAAGGATCCCTACTATCATTAAGCTCATGAGAAGAGAACATATAATTACATCTCATGTGAAAAATTGGCCGCCCCTCATTTCTCTAGATCTCATTCGAGTTTTATCTTCTTTTCGTTGCTCCACCGGTACGAATTGGTAAGGAGGTGTAAGAGTAATACAGTAGAAGATCTCGAAGGTAATCGAGACCCGTGATCATCTACAGAAGTCGACAAATCTCAACTCGAAGGCCGAGATCCGTCGACCCCAGACCCGTATAATATATAAATGTTGAACCACTATTAGTTATTATAAAAATTGGCTTTTGGTACAACAACATACATTGAATTAAATCTTCCGACTTCCACTTTTAATTTAGGAATTTTGAATTTTTTTGTAGAGTTTGAATGTGAGATTTTCAAACATCTCGATGCGCTACTCGCACGCTCTTGTAGTAATTTCTCCTTATTGTGCTACTGAAATATTGAACAATAAAACATTACATATGTGAAGAACACAGAAAATTACAGAAGCCAAATAAGGAGGCCTGTTAGGATTGCCAGAATAACCCGATGAAAGTGTAAGGTTCTGCATATGATAGAATTATTGGTGGGCTCTTGCGCTCTTCCAGTAGGAGATAGAAGCTCGGCTGGTGGCGGAGGCGAAAACGTAGGTACATCGCACGTCCCAAATGTGGCATTTGCCTGTTAATCATTTGCTCGATATAAGTTGCACAAAACAAATATGAGTTTTCCAATGTAATTATTATTATTATTAGAAAATGCAATAGATTTGGTTATATAATGATAAACATTTAATATACGTCAATATTATTTTATAAAAATTTAGTTTTACTATTTAACTAAAATTATACAATCATATTTGAAATTCAATGTTGCACATGCTTAAATTAAAAAATTTCAAGTTTAAATTTAAAATTTAAAACTTTAATAATGGCCCATTAAAAATTTATAAAGAGGTATAGAAGTCATGGCTATATAGAAGGAAAAAAAGTTAAAAATAAAAATGTCAGACTATTTTGACGTTAAACATACCCGGCAATAGGCAATGCTATTACAGCCACAGGTCAAATGGCCATTTGCTTCATCAATGGCCTCAAATGCTCCCCCTCCATCACTCCTCTGCAAAACCAAAATCAACGAACTCAAATAACTTTTCATAATTGTTATGATTAAGACAATAATATATTTTTTCAATACATGTATATATTTTTTTATATAGTTTGGTTGGTTCGATTATTTTGTTTTTTCTTAAAAATAAAGATAAAATCTTACCTACATAACCAAAATTATTATATTACGATAATGTGCATTCTGATTGTCACTAATGTGCACTTAGTGTAACACTATTGTGCATTCTGCGGTACAATGACATTTCGGTACATTTTTGTAACAGAATGCACAAGAGCGACAAATTAAATGCACATTAATACCTATGAAAATGCACAATATCGTAGCAATTTACTTTCTTATTTTTTCACGTGGGGTCATTGTGCATACTACACTGTTACGTTAATGTACATTCTCAAAATCATTAACACACATTTAGTCTAACACTATTGTGCATTTTGCGTCGCATGTATTTTTAATATGCATATTTGTACACATTGTGCATTTTACCTGACATTATTTGTGCATGAGTATATTTGTATATATTTCAAATTTGAACCATGATATTGTAATGTAGTTAAAATTCCTAAAATGGCAAATAAATCCATATGAAATATGAAACATATAATTTTGATCGACGGAGAGGCGGCGGCACAGGTCGTCCATGGCAAGAGGAGGCGGCAAGAAAATGCGGCGGCACATGTCGGCCGTGGA